AGCCAGTTACTCCAGTAGTCCGGAGGCTACAATCTCCGGTAGCCACAGTGCGCGCCGCTCCTGTTGCCCGTGTTTCTGCAGCTTCACCTGTCGTCTCCTAACTCCTCTCCTCTCACAGTCCCTCCTCCTCCTCACTTACCGTCTGTGACTGCCTCTAGCTTTGCTTATATTTGTGAACTATAAACTGTTGCTTCTTGTACTTGTGCTCAGAATGTGTGATCCACCCTGAGCTTGTTTTGCTTTGCTTGTTGTGCTGATTACACCCCACTTTGGCTATGGGGGTGTGTCAGAATATGTTATATTTGTCTAGCCTGCAGTGGGGTACTCAATAGTGAGTACAGCCCAATCTAGGGTTTCCTATATGTACTCAACTGCTTGCTAGTCAAAACCCTCTTTTCTTGTTTTAACTTTCAACTCTTGTTTTCACACCCACATGCAAGCATTGACTACCGCTAGCAAGATAGAGGATGGAGGAAATGCCGATTGCTCAGGTGTGTGGGGAGGGTCTGATTAGGGGCCACCAAGCAGCGCCTGTCCATTCGGGAATGACCAGCGTCATTGTGGCGTTCGTGCGTGCGGCATGGTGCAGGGTCGCGGGGATGAGGCTCGGTGGCGGAAATGCGAAGCCGTGCTCTAATCCCCAATCGAGCGAAAATGCATTTATGGTAGTTGCGCGTGGGTGCGGATGTTTAGCGCAGAAGCGCGAGAGCTGTGCGTTGTTGGTGTTCGCGAATAGGTCGATGGTGTGTGATCCCCAACGCCTGTCCAATAATCGAAACCAGGGGAGCTTGAGCGAATAATCATCGTGGTCTTCCAACTTGGACAGTGCATCTGCATGCGCATTGAGGGCCCGTGGAATCCATTCGATGGCCAGCCGGGTTTCGTGCGCCATGCAAATCGCGACGATGGCCTTGCACAGAAGAGTGAGCTCAGGCTGGCGAGAGCCGCCTTTGCGAAGAATGAAGAAGACGTCTTGGTTGTCCACTCGAATGAGTACGTGGCGGCCTTGGATCTGGTCCGTGAATGTCTGCAGCGCCCATAACACTCCCTCGAGCTCTCGGCGTGTGCTCGATGTGGAGAGAAGTTCTTTTGGCATGGGGTTGCTTCCTTGCGAGCTTCTGCCGGGGAAGGATGAAAGGGTTGCACCCCAACTGTGCGCGCTAGCGTCGACGTGAATGACCGCATCTAGACTGTGGGGCATGTGAAACGGGGCCCCGTTAAAACGGTCAAAATGGTCAAGCCAAAATTGTAGCTCGTCGCGAACCTCCGAGGTCAGCGTCACCCGTGCATTCCATGATGGCGCCTCATTAATGAGTGTCAAAAGTTGATGGCTGAAAGAGCGCGCCGTCGCGCCAAGGGCGAGCGCCATGGATGCAAGAATGCCAGTGACTCGGGCGACGAGGCGGATTGAAACCCGCTGGTTGCGCTCGTAAGCGAGAAGCAGCACACGTAGTGCTTGTGTAAGTTGCGCCTTTCTCTCCTGGCCGATAGTGAATCTCCCGGATGCGGTGTCCAGCTCCATTCCGAGGAAGTGCAATCTTTGAGTCGCGGCCAGGTGTGACTTTTTTGCGTTGATGACGAGCCCTGACTCCTTGAGGTCTCGAATGACTGCACCACTTTTCAAACGAGCGTCCTGTTCCGAGTCGCAAAGGAACAATATATCGTCCACATAGGGTATAACCCGAATACCTTGCGCTCGCCATTTTCGTGCCAACTGCTTGATCAACTGGGTGAACAGGAAGGGCGCTGTAGCGAGGCCGAACGGTAACGACTTGAAAAAATAGTCGGTGCCTTCGAAGTGAAAGCCTAGGAATGACCAGCAAGATGAATGAATATCGATGTGATGATAGCCAGACTTTAAGTCAACCGAGAACATCCAGTCGCCCGGCTTTGCCAGTTCAGCGACGCGAAGAAGACATTCGTACTTGAATTTGGGGACAATGAGGTATTGATTGACCTTTCGCAAGTCAAGAATGAGGCGGCACTTGTTGCGTTGTTCCGCAACATTGAGTGGGCTGATGCATGTAACGGCCGATGAGCTAGATGCAACTGCTGCTGCTCCCGACGTGAGCAATTCCTGAATTGCCGATCGGGTGAAGTCGGTGTGCTTCAAGACTCCGGCGTGATTTTGATCGCGAAACGGCGGCGGTGAGAATGCCTTCCAAGGAAGCCAATATCCATTAGCAATGACCGACAGGATCAAGGAGCTCTCGCACCACGAAGCCCACCAAGCGAAAGCCTGTCGGAGGCGACCACCCATGATGGTGACGTCGCGATCGGTAACCGCAGTTGCCAACATCTCGTCCTGCTCCCCTGACCATGAAGGCGTGGCGGCTGCCATGGGGTGTTTTGTTTGGGGATAGCAGGGGTACGGGGTCGAACCATGACGTTAAATTACGTGATATGTAACCGCGCGCACGTATGAGCGGATAATTCACTCACAACGACGTGCAACTCGTGGGTCTGACAAGGGTAATGAGATTGCGAGTGCGCGTGAGTGAGGTGCGGCTGAGAATCAGTTGGATTCAATAGGTATCACCCCCCTTTGTGGGTATCAAAGTGAGAACCAGTCAAGTGAGGGTCCATGCGCGTCGTGCGCGCGCTTCTCTTTCTTCTTCTTCCTCTCTCTCTCTCTCTCTCTCTCTCTCTCTCTCTCTCTCTCTCTCTCTCTCTCTCTCTTTCTCTCTCTCTCTCTCTTTCTCTCTCTCTCTCTCCCTCTCTCTCTCTCTCTCTCTCTCTCTCTCTCTCTCTCTCTCTCTCTCTCTCTCTCTCTCTCTCTCTCTCTCTCGCAAGGCACGTTAGCCTGATGGCTTGGTAACAAAAGGTACTATTGTCCAACGAGAACTCACTATGCCTTGCCATGCCAAGCATTGTTACTTGCTCTTGCTATTGGGTTGGTCGTTGCCTTCCCATACCCTTCTCCCTCTCTCTCTTTCTTCCTCTTTTTTTTTTTTTTTTTTGTGACATAACTTGTCATAAGGCAGGATCTCCAAGGCCAACGGCCTGAGCAACATTCCATTATAATTAGAAATACAAGTTCATAGCCACCCGGGCTTTGCGTAAGAACGCACACACACGCATACACACGTACACAAACACCCTAGGGCATTCCATGCCTCTAGCCTTGGGCTAAGCAGCCACTACCAAGGGCCCCTGGTCCACGCCCGGCCCAGCCCTCCCCCACCCTCCATCAAAGGCAGCCAAGGTATGAGAACCTTGGGTGCGGGGAGATGGGAGGGCGAGGTTGCTTAGGGCTTCTCTCACACCACCGGTGCGGGCCCATTGCCCCCATGGCCTCCGTGGGGGCATGCGCTAGCCATGTGGCCATTCTAGCCGCATCGGAAACAGGTTCCCTTGAAGCCCCGACAGCCGTTGCCGCTGCCCATGGTCTTTGGCATGAAGTGGGGGGAATCGCGGTGAAACGGACGGCTCCCGCGGGCGAAACCGGTCTTCATACGCTTGAGGGCTGCCATATCCGCCACTGCCATCTTGAAGGAGCGTGAGGTGAGCACCGCCGTAGTCTTAAGGAGTTGGTAGCGCTCAGCCACATCGAATCCGGCATGGTCGGCGACGACCAAGACGTCGAAGCGGCGCTTGATGAGGTCTTGGGCTTGGCCGACGGTTTTAAGAGCACCGGCGGCGTCGCCTCCGCGGATCTTGTGTTCCACGTGTGCCGGGTAAGTCTGAAGCGCCTCGAACACCTCCGCCTGGTCACGGACGCCTTTGCGGTTGAAGGCGGCGGCCGCGGTGGAAGGGTGAGGAGAGGGAAGAGGGGGGAGGAGATCGTTAGGCAAGAGGGGCATAGGGTTGTTTGGTTCCTCACCCGCATCGCTGTCGGAGTCGGAATCAGAGTCATCGGGTGCAGCGGGTTCATCCTCGACGGCTGGAGCCTTTCCCTTGTCGGCGCGGTGAGATGCGGCAACTCTCGCGGAAGTGGAGACGTTGTTGCGGATGTTTGCAGTTTTAGCGGAAGCGAAATTTTCCGCTTCTGTTGTAGCTGCTGGCGTTGTAACCGGGGCCGCGGCCTGCTTTTGGAGGAGCGCCAGCAGTGCCGCCACTTGCGAGGGCGAAAGATTCGCCGCCGCCCCCTCGGTTGCAGGCGAATCCGTCGCCCTCCGCTTCTGGGTGGCGCGCGAGCCTCCCGCGTCAGCGCCAGTGATGACGACGAAGTCGTCATCATTGGCGACTGCAGGCCCATGAGCCTGCTCGTGGGACGCGCGTGGCTGGGGCGCGCGCGAGCGTGTGCCGCCGCCCTCGCCGAGCAGCACGTCCACCCCAGTGTGGGGCCCCTCGGCATTTTCCTCGGTGGGGCGTTTTCGCTTCTCCGCGCCGGTTTCCCGGGTCGTTTTCTCAAGCCCCGACGACGGTCGAAGAGTTGCGTCCTTAGGCCCGGGGCTATTGTTGTTCGTTGGCGCCATAGTCGAAAGGTTGCGGTCGAGGATGTCGGAGAGGAGCGTCGATGGAGAAGTAAAGCGAGGAAGGCTCTTAGTCCTCGCCAGCTTGGACGAAAAAATCGAGAACTTGAAAACTGAAAAGTTTGAAATGAAAAACGTGGGTGAAGGCCAAATGGCCTTCGCCCCCTCTTTTATACCGAAAAAGAGGGGAAGTAGCGGTTTGCCGAAGCATTTTGCTTCGGTACAAATATCTTCGCTATTCACAATACACAATTTTAGAAAGTGTTACACACTTTCAAAAATTTACATTTTTGTGGGTATCCAAGAACTTCCATGGCGGAAGAGTTGGAGCGGAAACATGGTGGTGTTGTCTGTTTAATCTGCCTTTTGAGAATCGGAATGATTGCCTAGGTACTAGAAGTAGCTTCCGAGATCACCGTGACACTGTGATCCTTGGTCACGAATGCAACTACCATAGACACGTTTCCTAACAGCTTCAGCATCAACTGAATCACCATGATCCTTCCAGAGCCCAACTGAATCACGTCACACGTGCATCAGGGTCACATTTATCTTGTGTCGTGTACCGGAGGAGCAGTTGAAGGATCACTTGAAGTGGGTGGATTCAGGGTCACCCTTGATCTTGTCTGGGTATGCAAGGATCCACTTCTGAAACTCCATGAACAGCTTCCTTTTCTCGGTAGGAGAAAGATCCTTCACAAGTTTCGCCTCCTCTCCAAACCCATGTGCTGCAGTGGCGTATGTATGGATTCTCACACACCTATCGATCCGTCGATCCTCGTACTCCCGAACCGCAGCAGCCACGGCAGCAGGCTCGGCAAGCCTATCCTTTATATCAGCAAGGCAGAGGGACAACTGGTGAGCATCCTCAAAGGCAGTTTGAGCCCCTTGCCCTAGTTCGGGGTGCATGGCATGTGCAGCATCCCCCATAAGAACAACCCTGTTACCACACTTGGAGTCGCTCCAAGAATCCTTTGGAGGAGGCCGGTCCATCATCCACCGCTCGTAAATGTTACCAGGGTCCGTTGTGGTAACCGCCTGGAGCACGGTATGCCAGGTGTCATGCGCTGAGGGGTCTGCAATGTTCTTGCTGACATGGCACATCAACCGGTCCTTGACACCTGGCTTGCCAAAGCCACCAAAGGGTGTTTGTTCGAGCTCCGCTTTGAGCTTGCCATCAGGGTCAGCAGCGCTAACCTGAAATTGGGAAGATGGGTAGGGTAGCACAAATTTTCGAAAGTGGTGTATCAACTGTTGTTGACATTAGGCAAGCATGTGTGGTCGCAGAAACATTGTGGCTGTTTCGCTATGGAAGGCAGCAGTATGGAAGAGCTGGATATGAGAGCATGTGCGAGCAAAAAGAGGGTATGTGTGGGTCGGGCCAAATTGAATCAGTTCAGAGAAACACAATTAATGTTCTCACATGCCAAAATGTCTTCCCGCCATCGATAAAAAACATCTGGTAACCTGTAACCGCATCCTTAAACGAAAGCACCGTTCGATTCTCCTGTTGGCTCGCTTCCCCGCTTAGCTGGCTTGGCACACGCGCGTTCCAACCAAACTGCTCCAAATACCGAGGCGAGTCGCCGATCATTTGATTCCGCACAGCTGATCGCACGCCATCCGCTGCGACCAGAATCTTCCCGCACGAACCACCACCAGCTCGCGCTGCTGCTGCACCGCACCACCCTCCTCCACAATATCAGCTCCTTCCGGAGCAGCAACGCTGGAAATATTTGTGCCAGTTCTGGGATTCGAACCCACAATTTCGAGCACCACGTCAACCGCTTCCACCTCTCCCTCGCCGGCACCATCCTTGGTGGTATCCCATACGCTGCTGCTGGCAATAGGCTTTCCCGCGACGACGGGGTGATAAGCCACGACGCGATGTCCGTGCATGATAATTTCGGGTCGCGTTAGAGACGAGGCGAGTACCTCTTGGGCTCGGGCCCACCCCACGATTCTCGCAATTTGCGAGGGCACTTCGCGCACAACCCAGCCGTCGCGATTTTCGCTGGTCCCTACAGTAGCAGCATCGTTAGTGGCGGATCCGCTACTATTACCGCCGCTGGTAGAAGCGCTGGCTGATTCAAAATCTGATGCCGGAATCTGTCGGGTAACAAACGTAAGTTTCGCGACCGTTGAACCGCTCGCAATCACAGCGTCGCCGAGCCCTGGCTTCAATCCTTCGAGCGCCTTGAATCCGTTGGGAAATATGCCGAGAATCGTGCCGGTGCTGTTGTTCGATCGCCGCGCAGCGGCCGCGGCCTCGAAAACGGCCACCTCAATGCCGCGCGCCTGCAGGCCGGCGGCGAGCGCGAGCCCCACGAGTCCGCCGCCTGCAATCGCCACGTCCACGTGAAATGAGGGCGGCGGAAGCTCCGCCGCCGCCGCAGCGATCGGGTTTGGCGCTGCGTTTTGCGCCGTGATCGATGCGTTTCTGGCTGCTTGCGGATTGGAGGAACTCCGCGGCGGCTGCGGGAGCCTACTATCGCCGACCATGTCTCGGGGGAACAAATCTTGGTTGTAGGAATAATTGAATTTGGAGACGTAGTAGTGGCGACGTCGCATCGTCATGCGACGACATTGGTCCGTCGTTCCGAATCGCAGGGTCCGAATCGCCGACGTGGAGACACGAGGAGCAGAGACTGTGACGGCAGGTGGGGCGAGAAGGGCAGCCATAGCTCTGATGGTTTGATTCTAGGAGAGTGTGAGTAGGAGAATCTAGCTAGCAGGGGGACTTTAATGTTCCTCTTTCAGAGGTCGAGAGAGAGAGAGGGGGGTCCCTCTTTCGTGAAGACCCGCACGTGTGGCACGTTTTAAAAGCTTCAGGCAAAGGCATGGCGACGAGGAGAAAGCTTCAAGTGATAGAATCTCGTCAAGGGGTGTGGTGGAGGAGAAGAGCGAAGCAGACGGGCTGGCTGCCAGCCAAAAGACGGCCATACAGGTCCCTAGGGGAGTTTGAGGTGCCGCTCTGCAGCTCGATATAATGAGATTCTCAGAGGTGACGTGGCTGTCAACTATTGGAAGACTATGCCCGAAATTTCGGGCGTGCGGATCCCGAAACGGCCTGTGAGGCCTGCATTTCTTGCCTCGCATCGCGGCTTTCCCAAGCCGTGTTTGTAGCGGGGACCAGGCTTGGAATGCATGAGATGATGAGATTCTAGAGGCTGGTGAGCGCACATGTGAATGGTGGCGGTGAGAAACTCAAGAGGGGGAGGGAGCATCTATTGAGAATTTGAGATGAGAGACGAATGGGAGGAGCAGAAGGCCGTCAAGTTGGGTTTGGCGTGCAGCCATGACTGGTGGAGTATGGTACACTTGATAGTACAGCCATCACGAAAACGGAAAAGGATAAGTCCTGAGGGCGAGAAGCGATTTAGTTGGTTTGGGAGGGTTGTAGAGGGGTCGTGACGAGGGAATGTGGGATTGTCGTGAGTATACCGCTGTACTGTAGATAAGTTTTGTTGAACAAAATTCAGAGAAGTTTCTATATTGTAAGGAAAATTCCTTTTCCTTACTTCGCGTCCCTGCTCAGCGCGTACAACACTGACAGCACCCCACAATATCCCGTTACCACTCGCGACATTCGCCCCGACACCATTCCCGCCACTGTTCACGATGCGACCCAACCACACGGTTCGGTTGGTAACTCGCGCTCCGGACCTCCGCCTCGACAGTTCCCCAAACCTCGGCATTAGGGTACATTCCTGTAGGGACACTTGTGTCTCAATCCCCGTTTTCCCGAGTCGCGCCTGTAAATTTGCCAAATGTTGTGTCACAAACAACCAATGTATCGCGACCCTGCGCGACAGATGGGCACAGCCAGGTGGGTGCGTTCTATTGGTTGCGACCAATAGGATTGTGCCCACCCAGTTTTCCCGCCGGGCAGGGGGGCTAAACATATCGCACCACCTCGAGTATCGCGGTGGGCTTGCCACAGAAATGAAAGTTGCAATTTGGGCCACCCCACACACAATAGCATGTATACAACCACGGCTCCAAGTACAAAAACGCAAGCATCACAGAGCTAAACTGCACCACTGTCTAGCAACCATGGCATCGCCCCGCGAGGTGCCATTCCTCATGCGCCTACTTGTCGCATGGGTTACGTTCTACTACAGCATATTCATGGATGCCATCGCCAAGTCGGTCGGTGGCTTGCTGGAGGCGAACGTCTTCAATGACGAGGTGTCCTCGTCATCCAGCTCTCGCGCCTCCAACCGTACCGCAGAGCGGAAACGAAGGGCTGGGCTACGCCGGCGGAGATACCAGTTGCTGCTAGAGGACCTGGACGGCATGGGGGAGGATCAGTTCAGAGATATGTTTCGCATAAACCGTGGCATTCTCGAATACATTGTCGCCGGGATGACGCACTACATGCAACCGTACGTGGACAGGTACCTAATCAGTCATGAAGTGGCATGCCTTGTACCTATCAAATACCTCGCAAGTGGCATGTCTTTCGTAGACTTGTCCTCCGTGTTCGGGCTGTCCAAGACCCTGTGCCACATGCTTGTTGACGCGCTCCTCATGCATTTCCCGTCCGTCTTCAAGCAGCAGTGGGTCCACTTCCCGACCCGCGACGACCTCGACGAGATGGCCGCAGAGTTCCGCGCCATCAAGGGGGGTACCTGCGGTAGTGGGGGCTATAGACGGCACACACATACCCATGAAGGGGATGGAGGGGCACAGGCAAGAGTACTACACGCGGAAGTCCTGTTACGCCGTCCAGTTGCAGATCACATGCGACGCGCGAGGCATCATATGGGACTATTTGATCGGATACCCGGGCAGTGCGCACGATCAGAGAGTGTTCATGAACAGCGCGTTACACGAAAGGTTGTACAACGGCGACATAGCGCCATACCAAATAGTGGGAGATGCTGCCTACCCACTCAGAGACTTCTGCCTGACCCCCCTACATGCTCCCCGTGAAGGCCTAATGGAGGACTGGGAGCAGTGCTTTAACTATTGCCAAAGCGCAACGCGCATGGCAGTAGAGCGCTGCATCGGCGCCTTCAAAGGCCGGTGGCGTCTATTCGCGGGCCGCAATGACTGCAAGCTCTGGCGCATTCTTGCAGGGGCGTCTTGTGGCGTCATCCTGCACAACATGTGCGAAATGATGGGCGCAGTAAGGCGCGTCAATGCATCGTGGGCAAACTTGCCCCGAAACCGGAACCCATGGTGGACTCGTGGCGCGGTAGCAGAGTTCATGTGGGAGCCATGTGACCCATGCACGCAAGAGAATCTTCGTGAAAGGCGCAAGCGGCTGGGCGAGGCTCTGGAGTCGTCTTACCTCACTCGGCGGCGCCGCGGACCCACACCTCCTCACCCGCATCTGGGTTAGAGAGGTCTTCGCCCGCCTGCCCGCGACGAAGCCAGCCGTCGTCGCCGCCTTCGGCGGCGTGCGAGTCGGTCATGTTGTCCGCGTGGGCAGGGATGTCGTCGCGGACATGCGGGGAGGGTGCGGGCTGCTGCACGCGTTCCCGAGCAATACGCGCGTCCTGATCCATCCACGCGCGGACGAGGCCTTCGAGCCTGCTTATGGCGTCTGAGTGGCAGCCTTTGATCGTCTCACACACCAGCTTTGCAGCGGCCATCGTCGCCGTCTCTGCCACACGTGGGCGCTTCGATGTAGGAGTTCCCTGTGGCGGCGGAGCTGCACACACGGTGGATGCACACGAACAGTAGACGAGGTGTTATGTACCCTAAACATTTTAATGATGTAATGTGTGCGTAAAATGTTGTCACAAAATGTGTCATTCAACAAACCCGCGAGTGCCACCATTGATGCAACACATACATACCAGTGAATGTCGGCGTAGAGGTGCAGGGCGCCGAAGTGGACGGGACCGCGTACCCGCACGGCACGTTGACGTGTGCCGCACCGCCACCGTCGACGGCGTGAGGGTTGCCCACCGCCTTGTTGTTCTGGAAAAGCGCCATGTACGGGTACCAGTGGGGCTTGCACACGGCACCCTTGCCGCTCGCCTTTTCCCCCTTCTTGATCTGCTTGTACATGTTCACAAGATTGCGCCACTGCTTCTGAAGCGCGTTTACACCGCGCACCCAACCGGGATTCTCCTTCTCGAGGTGACGCGCGAGGCGGGCCCAGTACTGAGAGCCCTGCTTCCCGAGGAGGGGCCCGAGCTCGTCCTTCATGAACCAACGCGCAGCCACGAAGATTGTGTTCTCGCGGGGGGACCACACGCTCCGCTTAACAGGATGCAAGTTACGGGTCTTGGCAGTGGCACGCGGAGGTTCCCCGCCCTTAGCAGCAGTCTTGGTTCCCGCAGCGGCAGACGCACGGCCGCGACGAGGAGCCGGGGACGCAGGCTGGGCCTCTTCGGGAGCGTCCTCGTCGTCATCGGCGTCCTCGTCGGCGTCAACTTCATCCTCGGAGGGGGACATGCCCTTGTCCTGCTCCTCGCCAGAGTCCGCGTCGTCTTCGCAGGCCTCGTCGCACTCGTTGTAATCAGAGTCCGCGGCGTCATCATCGTCATCGAAGGCAGCATCGTCGTTGACGCGGGATGAGGCAACCCGGTCGGCATGACGGCGTCCGCGGGTAGGGACATCGCGCGGGGCTTCGAACGAGGTGTCCCCCGCACCAGGCGCTCCTTCGAGCAAAGGGCCGGTGGGCTTGCGGCCGGCCGCGATTTGTTTGTTCATCCAAGCGATGTACGGGATCTCGTCGAGATCCCGCGGGCACAAGTCAACAGAACTAGCTACGCTCTTGCGCTTACGGGCCATGGCTACAGCGTGCCAAAGAAGACCCTGGCTAGACTTCGCAACAAGAAAGAGGAAGCTCGGGTTGGGAGAAGAAGAACAGATTGGAGCGGGAGAGTGCTGTCAGTGTGGTTGGAACGATGGGCAAACATTCGGGCAGGGATGTGACCGTGTGTGCTGAAGGACCAGTCATATGTCAGCCCGGGCAGAGCGGTTTCCATCCCCGCGCGGAAACGTGCCCAGTTCGGGCGTCCAGGTGCATGCTGTACAGTGTGAGATTTCGACACGCGTGCGATTTTCGGGATGTGAGGGGGCCTCGTGTAACTCGTCCGCGACACAAGCGCAATTCACGCCAACCAATGTAAAATACAGTGGGACTCGCATAAGCGCGATCCGCTTTTGTGACAGGGCACGGTATATGCTGTTTTTAGATGTCACAAAGTGATTGAGACACAAGTGTCCCCGCAGGAATGTACCCTTAGGCCCGTCGCGCACCCCATTTTTCCCACGTTACCGTTACCACCATAGTTTCGCTATATATTCTTCGCTCATTCCTTCGCTCATTGTATCTTGTCTCGATAGTGCAATCCTCGCTCGCTCACTCCATTGCACTCGTAACACTTGGTTATCAGAGCCTACGATATTCTCTCGGACCGCACCCACACCTTCGCTTCCCCACTATCACTTTTTTTGGGGGGGGTATACGTCTCTCAGCGATCAAGCACCGCCGCTCGTAGTGCTCTCTCGTAAGCACGCACGGCCACGACAGAGGC